AATGGAAAAAGCCAGGGTGGTACGGAGGAAAATGAAGATCCTGCCTGTTAGACACAACAGGACTGGAAAAGCTACTCTTTGCCGCTTACTTCATTTCAGCAGGGTTATGCAGCTCAAAGTTGAGTCCTGCAGTGTCACCAGGATATGTATCTCAAGGAACAGCAGAATCACTGTCCCTTGTTGCAAAGCACCAAACCCAGCTGCTCTGGAGGCCCACCATAAGCACCCTGCAGCCCAGCCACCACTTGCTCTGACTGCATCCCAGGCTTCAAGACCCCAGTAGAGTGATCAAGCCATTGCAATGCATAGCGGCACACCAGAAGACAGAAAGCCCTGAACCCTTTTTTGTTAAAGTGCTTGGTCTAATGATTGCAAATATTTGCACTCTTTATTTATGCCACATAAACCAATTTCACTGCTGTCTCTCCCCATTCATGTCCATTTTGATCTTTTTTCTGTTTGCTTTTTGCCTAATGTTTTCCATTATCCTCATTTGCGCTTGCAGTCTGTAAACAATAGAGAATACATTCACTGTTTTCCTTTCTCAGTAAAAGACCCAAAAGCACCCTGGTCCCATGCCTGCAAGAGCCTTTGTGATAGTGAACAATTTTCTTCACTGAGTGTATTTGAAAACAGAAATTCTACAAATAAACACAGCCCTGGCTTCTTCAGTGAAAGCAAAGCACCTGCTCTTCATTGGAAGTTTCACAAATTGTGAGTTAAACAGTATCTTGAAAGCAGTGAAATCACATGAGGCAAATGCACACTGCCCAAAGAAAACTGTATATCCTCTAAAATTTAAGATTGGTGTAAACACGGAGTTTAACTTTGACTTTGGCTTCTCCTTGCTCACTGCAGCTCTCAGACGCTGGCAGACAAGCTCATGCTGCTGCTGCAACAGTCACCAAAGTTTCCCAGCTGCAGAGAAGGCCCTGGCAAAGCTTGCAGCACAGAATCTGTCCTGCAACACAAGGAAGCGTCTGCACTCACTGAGCAGTTATGTGACAGTGCAAGCCCAGGCTGTGGCGTAGCATAGCATCATCCCTCTTGGCACTTGGAAAGGGCACCAGCCAACCGAGGAGAGATGCGTCCCTGGCAGGCAAGAAGGGATCCTGGGAGTGAACCAAGCCAAGTATCCTTGTGATCTTGATCCTGGCTGGTATGAAACTCACAGGCACTACAAGGGAAAAAAAAAATATATATAGGATATGGTTGAGGGGATTGGAAGGATGAAAGCATTTATTAAAGCAGAGGTTCCCCACTGTGTGGCAACAGCAAGGCAAATGGAAGTGGTGGTGGAGCAATGGACAGTCAGCGTGCTCAGTGCACCGCAGTGTGCTCAGTGCACCGCAGCGCAGTACAAAGTATTGTCACCACAGCTGGAGAGGTTCTCAAAAGTACGTCCTGCTCTTGTAATGTGCCCCATCAGAGACTATCGTTCCTCACATACACAGTGATGCACCATGGCTTTGGCTCCAGCGATGACACATGCTACCTTCACCTCCCAATATTCAGGGCACATCCACCATGCCCAAGAACAGTCACAGCGTTAAGGCCCAGCATATTTAGGATATGAGTGAGATTCCCTTAAGGAAAAGTTTTGCTGCCAGCTTTCAAAGCATAGTGTGTCATGATTAGGAGATAAACCAGGGTTGCTTATGGATTACAGCTTAGGGATGCCTTGGTCAGTACTGTTGTAATTACCAGAGTCTTAATTTTGTGCAGCTGTGTGTCTTTTATGTTTGGCAATAGGAATCCTGCACGCAGAAGCCTTAGCAATGCTTTGTAACCCTTCTCCCACCCCACCCTGTGCCCCAGAAAGTTTTTGTGTTCCAGTTTCAAAGCTCTCTTGCTTCCCAAGTGGCTAAGTATCTCTGTACAATGCCTAGTTTTCAAGAAATTTGAGTTGGCTCCACTGGATTTTTAATGTTAGTACAGTAAAATAAGAAGTGTGGGAGCAGCTGACCAATGAAACCATGGAAAGGGAGGACCGGTTTCTTTGGCATTGTTAGAGCAGCTCATTGGAATACAGTGCTGGCAAGAGCAGTTGCTTTCTGCTTTGTAGTGTCAAGAATTAAAATATTTTTAAAATACTTATCAGAAGGTTTATTTTGAGCCCTTCGAAGCTCTAGTTGAAAGGCAAAAAGGTATTTTTTTTAATGGCAAACTTCCACTGTTATTAAAACATTGAGATTCATGTTTTTATGTCAGTCACATTCTTTGTGCTTGATTATTGTGAATTCATTGCATGAATGACAGGGTCTGTTTACTTCCTTTTTAAATTTTTCCTCAGCAGATGATATTAAATGGAGATTTGCAGTCAGCAAAAAGGTATCAGCATGATTATGCCTATTTGTCACAAACTGATATGCGCATTATTTTGTTGACATTGTCACTGCAGGGAGAGGTGGGGGAGAATCGCTGCTATGTTGAGCCACACATGAACTTCTTTCTGCATCTTGCAGGCTATGTGTCGGATCCCATGAGTACCATGAGGTTTCATTCCTGCAGCAGCAGTGGCAGCTTTGAAGAAAGCAGCTGACAGCATGAACCGTCCGCCTGCAGAGGGACTCACCATCAACAGTTCTCACAGTATCAGTCTGACTCCCAGGCATCGTGTGTTACAATGAAGATTCCTAAACTGAACAGCTTTATTTGTTGATGGCAAATGCCCCTGTCATAAGTTCTGCTCTAGCATCTTTCTCTGCTGACCTGCTTGAGGGTTGGTGTTTCTTTGCTGGTGTGCATCTATTCTTTAACGAAGTGAATGTCCACAAGGAATGCTGCGCTTTCATCTTAAGCATTAATAATTAGAAGAGATTAAAGTAAAAATGCATCTGGTATATTTTCAGAGCTCCAAGGCAAGATGTTCTTAGCTTGGACTGCACTAAGGCTTGGGGCTATCAGCCCCTCCCTGACCGGTAGGTGCCAGGGAGCTGCCAGCCCAGTCCCCATCAAGAAGAGGAGCAGCCTGTCACTCCCCACCACCATCCAGGCCACTGTGGAGGCAAAGTTTTTCCTGCTCCCAGCTTCTGAACCAGATCTAGTTTCTTTTTTTAGTTCCCTGCAGTCCCAGACATGTCCTGTGTCTCATTTTCATCACCATGGGCTCAGGCAGGTCCCCAGCACAGCAGCTCTTCAGAGCCCTGATCTTTGGGTGCTCTCCTGCTCGCTGAGAATAAAGAGATGTTTGGGTAGCCATCTTAACTGTACTCTTCCAGACATTTGTGTTTTCTTATCCACTTTCTTGTTTTGGTTTGAGTGATTGTTTTTCCCAAAGAGTGTAAGCTTTCATTCTGACATTTGCTTACAAAAAGGAACACAGGTACTCCAAAACAAACTTTAAAACAGAAGGAAAGTATGTAAAATTGTGTCACAAATATGATAATGTTAACACAGTGCAGTTGCATTTTTGACTCAAAAGTACAACTGCGGCAGAGTGCCATCTAGCGCGTGCTGAGCTAAATGAGTGCCATGACTGGGCTTTGCAACAGCAACTCTGATCACTGGGAATTAAAAAAAAAAAAAAAAAAGAGGTAGGGCAGGAGAACTTGAACTCTTCTTCTAGAAGCAATTACAGAGTTAATTATGCTGTTATTTTCTGGGGTCTTTTATCAAATTAGCAAAATCTAGCTGCAAGCGATCCTGCTGTAATAGTATTCCCTAACTGGCTTCAAAGACAGAGCTGACATTGGCTGAGTAGAAATCAGTGTTCACAATTGCTGTGTGTTGATCTGTGGATATTATTCAGGATGTTGGGTTCTTACAACTATGATCCCTGAACCCAGGTCTGTGATGAGGCATCGTGCAGTGCAACACACATGAACTATAAATGTGTAGTAGGCTCTACCAACTCACACCTTCCACGCATGGCATTAATTTCACAGTCCTGAAGCAATAAAAATGGGGAAGATTTCACTTAGCAAGGTTCACAGGTGTTTTTTTCATTTGTTTTGTTTCATTTCCTGAAAATTCAATGGGGGAGAAAGGGAAATAAAGCTGTACGTCAAGTGTTGCAGATCCGCTGTCAGCCCCTGGTACCACCCAGCAGTTCCTTTCTGCTCTGTTTGGTTCATGTTTGAGTTGCAGTCTCATTTACACCAACAGTCTGCTGGGCTAATGTAAATATTGGAAGAAACATGCAGAAAGGTCTGGGCTGCAGCTCACTAGGGGACTGGTCGGACCGTGGATGAAATCCCCCAACCCCCATAAGAAGTACAGCTGGCAAAACCATCCCCTCAGTGAGCATCCTGTCTCGCTGCGCCCCGGCAGGAGCAGAAGAGCGGGCTGCCTCGGCACGTGGCCGGGAGGGACTGACCGCTGCCAGCACCAGTGATCCCTGCTCCGGCGCCAGCCGCTGCGCCCTTACTGCAGTCTGCGGGCTAAGGCAGAGCCACCTCCTCCAGCCTGGCGAGAGAAAAACAGTTCTACACGGAGTGCCATGTGAGGGGGCCTTGCAAGGCACTGCTCCAGCTTCCAGCTCTTTCACTCACATGTCTTCCTTTTTGTGGCTCAACTCAGAAAGCTATGACACTTGTATTCACAAAATATTGTCATTACCTCTGAATCCCACCAACATGCACCATGGCAGCTTCTTCCTCTCTGAGGCTGAGCCAGTTTTTTTGTGACTAGATAGCCCTCTCGGTTTAAGGCCTAAACGTTGTGAAAATGAGGAATTCAGTGCAACAAAAAAAGAAAGCATCAGTGCAGCACCCTGGGTGCAAACCAGCATTTCAGAGGACTAAGCACCGCTCATGACTGGAAGGGAGCTGCTGAAAGCCGTTTGTAATTCCCTGGATACTGTCACGACTTCCAGAGATGAGTATTTGCTTGGAGCATGTCTCTGGAAAAACCCGTGGAGAAGTCTCCACCCCATCTTTGCAAAGCTTTAGCAATAAGTCAGTGTCACAACATGGGCAATGCTATGTCAAATCCCTAGGAGCTTTAATAAAAAGGAGTAAGAGGAAGCTTCAGTCTTTCCCATGGATCAAAGGAGATCATCAATCATCATGGTAACTTTTCAAACCAATGATTAGCTTTGTTATTTTGCCAACTCCTTGTCTGGCAGGAATACTTCCCATTATGGCTATAGAATTTGTGGAGTTTATGGCTTGAAACACGATTAGGTAATGAGACAGGCGATACCCCTGCACAAGAACTCCACTAACCCCGCAGCATCCGAGCTGAGTGGCAGGCACATCTGCATGACAAAATGCAAACAGCCGGAATTTGTTCAGGTTAAAAGCATCCTCCTTGATCATTTCCAATTTTTGGTTCCTGAAAGCAGAAAAAGAGTAAAACACACTGAAATTAGTACTCTGCCCACTCAGATAAATCACGGGGGGGGGGGGGGGGGGGGGTCCCCCCAACACAAAACTTATCATTCCGCACAAACCAT